CCCACAGCCAGCAACTTGATCCTGACCGCTCAAGGTTGACTTAGCCTTCCATCCTTCCAAGGTCGGTAAAATGAGGGCCCAGATTGTTGGGGGCAATATGCTGACTCTGTAAACTGCTCAGAGAGGGCTATATAAAGCACTGTGAAGTGGTATATAAGTTTAAGTGCTATTGCTATTGCTATTATTCCCAGTGATGCTGTAGTCTTATAATACCTCCTCCATCTACTGTTGTTCAACTGTGAAAGAACATCCACAAAGCAACCAGTCTAATGCTACTCTCATCTTCGTTGGCTTCTCAGACCATTGCAATACATCTGTTAGGAACAATTAGAACAGTTGGGCATGTGATTTACAGACCGCTGGTAGAGAGATGGATGTGAAACATTGAGTTAGATGGTGCATTAATCTAATTATGTTTGAGAAAGCTCTCTGGCATATTTAATATTCAGGGGATGACTAAATGCAAAGGTGAGCCAATTGCAATCATTGCTACAGAAACCGATCAGGATGCAACAGTTGGCCTTGAACTTTAACCATCTGGCTATAGGCAAAGCAGCTGTCTTTCCAATGAGGAACGCTTTTCATTTCTGGGACTTGATTCATGCTTTTCCCATTGTTTAATTTTATGCTGCACAATCTGGCCTTCTATCCATAATGTCCAATCAATACGAATGACAAACTACAGGATTTAACTGAAGGATGTGAAAACTGAAATGGAGAGAAATGTGGGAATGGGATTATGTTATAATGAAAAAGGACAACTCTTACAAGGTTGACAGTTTAAGGGAGAAAAACACGGACAAGCCTCCATAAGTAATTACAGCAATAATTGAAGTGCCATCATCATCTCTGTAACTATACATTTGCCCTGTCTTCCCTCCTATCATTATCTTTTCATTTCTCTTTTGAAAAATGGTCACTGTTCTCCCTTTTTATTGGTTCGAATTGGTTTGTCATTGAAAAGCTCCTGTTCAGGGTTTTCTTTTCTATTACATCACAGTCAAATAAATTTAAATTTTCAAAAGCTGAATTGGGGAATTTGTAGGTGCCCAACAGCTCATGATGCTGATATTTGAAGTTCATCAACATCTCTACAAGCTCAATACCGCCCCATTTTTTTTATCTTATACTATTACAATCATATCAGGAATTATTAAGCGTTCATACTATTGGCATTTATCGCTTCAGAAGTGTCTTCCTATCACCTTTGAGAGAAGCCAATCCTTGATAAATTGAGACATTAAACTAATCTTTCAACTGCATAAGTAAAAACTTCATAATTGTTTCCATCTTAGGAAGAAACAAGGAGAAAAGTGAAGATAATTCTCAGGTACCGTAAAATCCCTATTGATAAATCCACAAACTCTTAATGGAAAATTATGCATTACTCATTATTTAATTCATTTAATTATTTTTGATACCACTTCCTGTACTAAGACTTCTCGTTGATAAAACAGTAATATCGTTTATTGTTTTATTAACACAAATTATTTAGAAATCTATGTATATCCTCTTTCTGTCTACTACAACCTGTCAGAATATATAATTTCCAGTGTTAAAAATGAGATTAAAAACTCAGCATTATCTAGGAGAGCTTCCCCCCCAGCCTGGTGCCCTCAGGAAGAATTTCAATTTTGGTCCAGTTGTTAAGAGTTAAAGATGCCAAATGAAGAAGGCTGAACTTGGATGTTCATAGAACTCAAAATGCTTGTATCATACGTGACCTTGTCACAGAAGCCACAAATTTGACATGTTGATTTTAATTAATAAATTGTATATAATAATAATTACTAAATATTGGGAGGAGCTCTAACAGTAAACTAAGTACCATAATTTATTATGAGAGATGACAAACCTCTGACAATATAACATGTTCCTTTGAAGATTAAAGAGCAGCATAAACTTCAAACTGCTAATCCATGGAATTCATATGACGCCAGTGATTCTGAAGAACAAGAGGCCTGGATAGACCGGTTCAGAAAATTGGAGAAAGCCCTTTATTTATCTGATGTCAAAAACACAGGTAAGGCTGATTCCTCCCAAACAAGGTTCTGCTTAATGAACATCACTGAAGATCGATGGCATATTTTACTTTCTATCTGCATAAGCGCACCTTAGTGATTCAAGCAAATTGTAATCCTTTCCAAGCATTACTTTCTGTAATTCTGAGAATGGATAGAGGCACAACTGGGTTGTACACATTGGCCTTGATCATGTCATCATATGTGCTGCCTGTTCCTGGACTATGTTTCCATGCTGTGTATGTTCTGGAAAGGACCTTGAGGAAAGGCAAGCATACAAAGTCCATTGTAGTACCGGTATAATCAGATACCACAATAGATACCAAGGCCAGTATAAGGGGAGAGCCAAGACTGTAAAAATATGTAACTGATCAACCAAATCTAAGTATAAATTAATAAATAATTTTGCTGGAAAGCTGGCAGCCCAGGTTTGAGATCTAAGCGTGAGGCAACGGGTTAAACTCCTGTCCTCACCTCAGTTCCTGCCAACCTAGCAGTTCAAAAGCATGTAAATGCGAATAGACAAACAGGTACCACTTCAGGGGCAATGTGACAATGCTCCATGACATCATGCTGGCCACATGACCATAGAAATGTCTTTGGACATCGCTGGCTCAATGGCCTTGAAACAGAGATGTGTACTGCCCTCTATAGTTGGCAACAACTAGCGGAGTAAAATCCGCAGGGACTCCTTACCTTTACCTTTTTATTTTACCATTGCTTCTACCTCTCTATCCCCATTGCAGCCCAATCATTCCAGACGGGGGCATTTTTCACATCTCCCCCTCGTTAAAAAATGAATAAGAACTGAGCCCAGCAGTCATAGTAATTCCTATAACACTAAACTTTGCCTTGACATTACACTAAACTTTGCCTTGACATTCCGGGACACAGCACGGAAACGGCATTGGTCGCGTTGGTTAATGATCTCTGGAGGGCCCGGGACAGAGGTTATTCCTCTGTCCTTGTTCTTTTGGACCTCTCAGCGGCTTTTGATACTGTAGACCACGGTATCATGCTGCGGCGTTTCGGTGAGTTAGGAGTGGGAGGCACCGTTATGCGGTGGTTCTCCTCCTTCCTCA